CATCACAAACCTTATATCTAAGTATTTTACCTTCGTATTTTCATTTTTTCGGTGGCGTGTGGAGGCTCTGATGACGGTGCAGTTTCCTCGGTAAGTTTCTTTCTTCTTTGGTTTTTTGTTTGGGTGCTGTGGGTTGCTTGCTCTCTGTTTTTTCTATTTTTCTCATTTTTTGTTCATATTCTATTCTCTTACAGGCTCGTTGGATTTTATAGCCACCACGGAGCTCATTTCGGACCGGTTAAAGAGCGGTCCTCGGTGAGTCACCGAAGCTACGATGGTGACTCACCTTAGGGCTGTGACGTGTGCAACCATCTTTGCATCTTCTGGAGTCTTCGATTGAGGCGGTTGAGGCGTGACAGTGACTGGAGTGAAGCGTTAGAGGCGGCGGCCGGAATAGACCCTAGGGTGTTAATGATACCCTAGGGTTTCTGCTGGATCATTTGTGGACCGTTGGATCTCAGCAGATCCAACGATTGATAGAGCTAGCGGTTGGAGATAGGGTTTAGAAACCCTAGTTGTATTCAGGTCTGGATCGAGTCTGTTGTGATGGGTCTAGACTAGATCGGGTCTGGACTAGGTTTAGGCCTGGACTTTGTATTTTGTTTATGTTGGGCCTCTGGGTTCTTTGTAAATGGGCCTGTAATATTTGTAATTATTTGATAATAATAATATAATAATATAGTAATAAAAAAATAAAACTGGACAAAAAATTAGGGTATACAACTGCCCCTCTTTTCTCATTCTTGTGTTAACAAGAATAGGCCAAAGACAATAAGTGTTTTTGTCAAGTTGACTTATTTTGATTAAGACGGAAATGTTGAACAAGTTCTTATTATTATGAACTATTCCACTGAAAATGTTGATGTCTCAAGTGAGGTGTCGCTGATTCAACTCCATATACGATGAATTGAACTAAGGTTGAACAAGTTCTTCTTATTATGAACTTCTTCCTCTTCATATGAGTTTTCCTTATCATGAACTCTCTATTGGACATGATGATCCTATCTTCTTCTGGGATGGATTCGAATCTTTGCTGAAATCCAAGTTTTTCAAAGATTGAAAAGTAGACTGATTCTTTGCTGAAATCTTTGTTAACTTTGGAATTCTTGTCAAATGTTCAATATCTAGATAAAAATGTGAAACAAAATTTAATGAACGAAAAGAAATTTGTTTGAAGAGGAACTATCTCAGGTGAGATAAAATTTGTTTTAAGAAAAACTATCTCGAGTGAGATAAAATTTCTGTTTTAAATAAGACATCGCTGATTTAAAATGTCGTGAATCAAGCAACGAAAATGTTGAAAACATTCTACCCGAAGGTCTTATGGATGGCCCGAATGACTTATAATTTTGCTCGAAAGGCTTATAGATGACCAGAAAGATTTAAGCATCATGCTCGAAAGACTTACTGATGACCCGAAGGATTTACAAATCAAGAAACCCTTGAAAATCAAGTTTAATTTCTTAGTTGTCAAGGAACCCCTTAAAATTAGGCTTAGATTCTTTTAACAACTCTTTTGAGATAATCATCAAGAAAACCCTGAAAATCAGGCTTAGTTTCTAAAATCTCATTTTAAAACATCCAGTCTAAAGGTTTTATGGATGGCCCGAAGGACTTATCATCTTGCTCGAAAGGCTTACAGATGACCTGAAGGATTTAAGCATTGTGCTCGAAAGACTTACTGATGACCCAAAGGATTTACAAATCAAGAAACCCTTGAAAATCAAGTTTAGTTTCTTAGTTGTCAAGGAACCCCTTAAAATTAGGCTTAACTTCCTTGAACAACTCTTTTGAGATAATCATAAAGAAACCCCTGAAAATCAGGCTTAGTTTCTAAAATCTCATTTGAAAACATCCTGCCTGAAGGCCTTATGGATTGCCCGAAGGACTTATCATCTTGCTCGAAAGGCTTACAGATGGCCCGAAGGATTTAAGCATCATACTCGAAAGACTTACTGATGACCCGAAGGATTTACAAATCAAGAAACCCTTGAAAATCAAGCTTAGTTTCTTAGTTGTCAAGAAACCCCTTAAAATTAGGCTTAGCTTCCTTTAACAACTCTTTTGAGATAATCATCAAGAAACCCTTGAAAATCAGGCTTAGTTTCTAAAATCTCATTTGAAAACATCCTGCCCGAGGGACTTATCATCTTGCTAAAAAAGCTTACAGATGGCACGAAGGATTTAAGTATCATGCTCGAAAGACTTACTGATGACCCAAGGATTTACAAATCAAGAAACCCTTGAAAATCAAGCTTAGTTTATTAGTTGTCAATGAACCCCTTAAAATTAGGCTTAGCTTCCTTTAATAACTTTTTTGAGATAATAATCAAGAAACCCCTAAAAATAAGGCTTAGTTTATAAAATCTCATTTGAAAACATCCTGCCCGAAGGTCTTATGGATGGCCCGAAGGACTTATCATCTTACTCGAAAGGCTTACAGATGACCCGAAGGATTTAAGCATCATTCTCGAAAGACTTACTGATAACCCGACGGATTTACAAATTTGGGAAATAGTTTACTAAGTAAGAAACTTTGGAAATCGTTTTATTACTATTCAACAATTTCATTTTCAGAAAAGATTAAATAAGAAACTTTGGAAATCATTTTTTTTCATTTTTTTTCCGAAACAACTTGTTAGTTGGGTAACATGCCCTCTCTTCAAAATAATGCTTCATTTATGGATTACGACCATATATTTTCAGATATTTTCCTCTTCTGACGTGATTCCTGCATTTGAGGTTTGAATTCTACCTTCTACTTGTAGAGTATTTTTCATCATGAATCTTCTTTTTCATACGAAGATTTGTAAAAACCTCATGTTTGAATACAATCAAATGTATCAATGTAATGTATTTTTTATTATGCAAATGGTGTTCTTATGAATTCAAAAATGTTGAATCCATCTTCATTTAACTCCAAAGTGGCGAATTCAATCTTTTTCCACTTGATCATTCCTTTTCTGGTTTTACTTCAAATATCAGTGTAGCGAATTATGCTATCAGGCTTGCATTTCTGAAGAATCATCCAATCAACTTGGATCTTTGTGTCTTCTTCATTTGCATTAAAGTCTCAGAAGAAATGTTTTATTTATGTAACTCTTGCCGCAGTCAGAATTATGACGTTTTTGCCTCTTTTATCCCTGAACTTGTGTGAAAAATCTAATAAAGCTTTTATCTTTGAAAAGAGAATATATCATCTTTGAAGAATGTATATCTAAATATGCCAAACTCAGCAGAGATTAATTATGAAAGCAGCGTCTGTTCAACTCTTGAAACACATCACAAGGAGGATTTATCCTAATTCCTTTCATGTCTCCATATCTAATTGGATCTCGAACAAGGCTATTTAGGCCATATTATGTCGAGATGTTTAACAACAACCTATCATTCAACCTTAGTTGGCTCCACTAGTTTCTTGCAGTTAAAATTTCAGCGTCTCTTTATGAAAATAAATCTTCATAATTTCTTATTTCTAACCTTGAGGTTTTGGAATACAACCTTCATTTTGGATCGACAAATTGAAACTATATGATCACAACATTGGTTCAGCATCATAATAACTGGTTCGTAAAACATTGACAATACATTCATCATTTTCTGTGTCTTCTGCCTAGATTTCTCAATCATTGAACCCTTTGCATAGTGTTTAGAGCTTTTGTATGACGTCACAAGGAAACTTAAGAACAAAACTCAGTGGGAATATAAGTAGGACGCTTTGGCTTGCCAGCATCTATGTAGGTGAAATTACCAGGATAATGTTAATGTATGATGGACAAAGTGATCTTATATGATAAGCTCAACTATCACTGTTTTATCATTTTCATTCTTCGTATCTTTCTATCTCATTGAAAATATTTTCTCAAATAAATGATCTTATATTCCTGTATGATATGGGCCTTCATCATGCCCCATTATTTGCTTCTTGTTGATATGAGCCTTCAAAATGCCCTAACATTTTCATACTGATGCGAGCCTTTAAAATGCCTCACATGAATCATTTCTGTATGAATTGGGCATTTAAAATGCCTCAACATTTTATTTCTGGTTGAAATAGGCCTTTAAGATGTCCCAACATTCTAAATTGTAAGGCTTACTCTCAATGTTTGTTTGATTTGAATCTTTATGATCCCCACGAGATCCAACTTTAATAATGCCCCATTGTGGGTACTTGTGTCTCTTTTGTTGCCCAAATCTCTTAATCTTGAATACTCTCATTCTAGTGTCACTAAACAATAGTGTTGTCAAGTAATTTGTGGGATTCTCTTCATGTAATCACAAACTTAAGAAGTTATCAGAAATGTCTGAGATATGTGCCTCTTCTAAATGAGGTGATCATCTTCTTCTTGATTGGTCGCATTCTTGCCTTTTTTGCTATGTATTAGGATATGTACCCTTTTGAAAAGGGTAATCATCTTCTTCTTATCAATTTGCTGAAAATGTCACAAAAGAGTGTTACATGGTCTCACATCCAGCCCTTATGATCTTTCAGACCACTTGCTTTCAAGAATGTGAAGTACTTAATCATTTTGGCATCGCTCATTCTTTTTCTCCAATAGAGGTAGAATAGGCGTCAACTTGTTTCAAAGACCTTCCTTATTTGAGACTGTCCTAGGGGTGTAAACAACCCGAGTCAAGCTCGAGTATTGCTGAGCTTGACTCGAACTCGAAAACTTTAAACGCAGGCTCGGCTCAACTCGAAAACTCGCGAACTAAAAATTATGAAGCTTAGCTCGAAATATATTATTGAAACTCGACTCAAACTCAAAAAGGCTCGAACTCTAAAAATATTTAGGAGCTCGATTGAAGCTCGATTCAAGCTCAATTCAAGCTCGAACTCAAACTCGAGTTTGAACCTACAAAAATCTTATATTACATTTAAAATATATAAATAATTTTCCCTTTAATCAACTATCACCAATACATTATAATATGAATGTATGAACTATAAAAAATCTAAAAAATAAAAATACAATTACAAGAAATTTAGGATAATTAATATAAGCTTTGAAGTTTTTTTATAATAATTATTAGTATTATTATCACTCATGTTTATTATATTAACATGTGCAAATCCACCAGGAGGAAGCCCGGGACAGTGCACCATCCACGTGAACCCACCGAAGAAGACCCATGCTGGTCGGCTATCCACTAAAACCAATGCTCATTGGCCATGCTCGAATCCATGCCCTGCAGACACACAAAACAAGAGACAGAGCTCCAAGCACAACAAGACAGAGAAAATATCAAGGATATAGTCTCAATCATCATCAGAAAAGGGGGGAGAGGTCAACCATAAAAAAACCCATGGAGGAATCAACAACAGGAGGTAGTGTTCTTCTACTCCATATGTATACCATATTGTTGAAGGATTTCTCGGGGTATTTTAATTATTGGTTCTATAACTACCTGAAGTATCAGCAATAAGAAAAATAATGGATACAGTTTTGGCTCCAAATAAATAATAGAACAGTTTGGATATAACAAGCAGATGCCTCAATCATAAGTCCTGAGATGGAAACATGAAAAACACTACCTCTTCTACAATATTTTCCTGGTTCTGGAAGAGTGCAGCCATAATTGTTTTCCCATTTTCCTTTTTTAGCGATACCTACAAAAGAACATTGATTAAGAGTATATTTAAAGACAATACCAAAAAATGTGCAGGAAAAAAAATCTAAGATGTCATTTAGAATTCAAGAGCACAACCGTTGAACAAAGCTTGATTCAAAAAGAGAAAAACGGGAGGGAAGATAACGAGTTCAAAATCAAATGCAGCAAAATTGCACACTTTATGTAAACTTTTGCATTAACAAAAAGAAACAAATATGTAATGAACAATTACTTACATCTCAACTTTATCATTAACTGTCTGGAAAGTATAAAGGAAAATCATGATGCATTCTACCAATAATCTTTCCCTGAATCCCTGTACCAAAATTTTCTGTGGTCAGGTTGAGAACCTTTCAACAATGTTGGTGATTATTGTACCCCTCACACTAAACAATCACATACAAGTATCATCTTCAGAGGACATGAATTTTATATAATAAACTATGACAACATTAGTCTACTGAAACTATTACATAATTATAATAAATTCCATTTTGAGAAAGTGAATATACCTGGAAACGGTGTGTAAGCTCTGAAATAAGAGGATATTGCTCCATATCAAAAAAAGTTCTGTAGGACCTCTGGAGATACTAAACCAAGGTCCAATCCTTTTTGAAGATTCTGTTACAATATTTTTGCACAATTAATCTTCACGAGCAGAGGAGAGTTTTGTCCTTAGTAATTAGTTAAAAGATAATTTTATAATAAACAAACAATACAGTAGGAGGAGAGGAAAACGAAAGAGAAACCTGAAAAAGATACCATGTCAAAGTACTAAACCTACCATAAGCATACAATAATTTCATGGAAATATTCTTTGCAGGGGCTTTATACCTTAGCCCCAAAACATAAATCTCAGCTGATGCTGAACGACTAGCATTCGTATTACCATATACTAAGTTATACTTATGAATCAAGTCATAAAACCCAGAAAATGCATCACAGTCTTCTTTTCAAGGATTCATCAAAGTGCAAAAGAACGTATTACCGTATACACCCGTTTTTGACCGGGCTTGAAAAATATTATAAATATTTATTATTATTATTATTATTATTATTATTAATACAAACAGAAGAACGCTGTGAGTTTTTTTTCTAATTCTTGCACATCAATTTTTTGGTTTAGTCTTCATCCATCGAGATTTCAAGTATAAAAATAGAAATAAATAGGGATTATGAGCTTACCAATTTGAGCCACTAGGTTTGAGACTGAAACATTGAAGGTTGCTCGGGAAACCTTGCATATGAGTTAGGGGTTAGTTTATCGGTTCAGATTCTAAAATAAAAACGAAATAGAAACGAGAGAGAGATCTATTTACCTTTGTTGTGTTTGGATCTTCACCGGAGTCGAGAAGAGAGAAACGATGTAGAGGATTTCAAAACTTTCGGTGAAGATCTTCACCGGGTTAGTTCATCGGTTCAGATTCTAAAATAAAAATGAAATAGAAACGAGAGAGAGATCTATTTACCTTTGTTGTGTTTGGATCTTTACCGAAAGGTTAAGAGAAAGGCATCAACTTAAGGCTTTATAAGGGTTGTTTTCATTCGCATATGGAGGCCACTTGGGTGGTGGTCACGCGTCGGTCATGGTGGCCGATGGTGCGAGTGGCGATGTGGTTAGCCTTTGAGGCTCTCGGTTGTGGGAAGAAGAAGAAAATAATAGAGGGAAGAGAGCAAAACGGCTGAAGAGGATAGTTTTAGTTCATATTAGTTTTAGTTTATAATTAGGTTTTTATATATTAAATGTAGGGTAAATAACTCTCATACCCCTAGACTTAGCCGTATATTTATACTTTAGTCACTGGTAAGGATTTTTTTTAAATTTATTCATTTATATTTGTCCCGATTTTATTATTTTCCCAATTTTAATTGTAATTTTTGGGTTATTTAAGTTTAAGTCCCTTATATTTATGTGTGCTTTTTATTTTAAACCCTGTTTATTTATTGATTTATGAGTTTAATTTTCACTTTATTTAAATTTAGTCCTTAGTTAAATTTGTGAATATTTCAAACTTAATCCTTGGTTGATTTAAATTTTCTTATTTGTTTTAAATGTTCAGATGTCATTTATGCTATTTTTCATATTATTTTAACTTAAACCGAATAGGATCAATTGCATATAAGACCATGTAAGTTTAATTGTACATTTACGTGAATTTAATCATCATTTTAAAGTTAGTATATTTAGCTTAAATTAGTCCTCACATTTAGGTTTCACTTAATTTAGTCTCTGTTTAGGATTATTTTCTTTAATTAGTTGTGTATATTTATTTTGCATGTTGATATGTTTATGTGTGAGTATGCGAATGATTTATTTAGGAGTCACATAACATCATTTTGCATAATTTGTATGTTACCTTCATGTGCATTACTCAACCCCTATCATATAATCAAATTAAGGGTTTAGAGTTTAGGGTTTATAGTTTATGATTTAGGGTTTAGGGTTCATTGTAAATACATTAATTAATCGACTTGGTACCGATTTTTGAGGCAAGTACAATATAGTATCTTGATATTAAATGCTCAAACCATTGATATTTATGATAGTTGAGCCCGAAACCTCAAAATATAACAACAATTTAAAAAATAGTTATTAAAAATATTATCATTAGAAATATATTAAATATTTGTAGATAAATAATTTTTTATTAATTTAAAATAAATATAAGAATATTTCTTCAAAAATAATTTTTAACAATTTTCAAATTTTCTATTGTTTGACTGTTTTTTCTTATTTTTTATTTTATTTTTCTACGTTGTCAAGTACTTGTGCAGTAAAAAGTTAAAAAAGAAAGAAAAATCAACCAAACACGTGTAATCTAACTTGTGCTTAATTAAATGAGCTTTTATTTTTCTTTTAGTAATATACAATGTAACAATTGGACTTGGGCTAGTTAATTAAAAAAATTAAAATTTGAGGGTAGTTGTATTATAGAATTTTTAATATATTTTTAAAATTTTATAATCATCATTAGTGTATTTTTAATATATTTTTTAATAATGTAATTTTAATAAATCTAAAATTATAATATAACATTTTTTTTCGAGCTTTTCGAGTCGAATATCGAGTAGCTCGTTTCGGCTCGTTAAGAACTCGAGTCGAGCTCGAGTCGAGTCCATTCGATCCGAGTATTTTTCGAGCCTTTATCGAGTCGATCTCGAGTAGCTCGCGATCTGTCTCGTCTCATTTACAGCCCTAGACTGTCCTATTTGAAATGTTTTTCCTCCATTCTTTATCAAATAATGAAAGAATTTTGTAAAGTATTACTCCTTACAGGTTCACAATAGAATAAAATCATAAGCATAAGTTCAAAGAATATCAAAAGAATCAACACCTCTTTAATGTTTGAGAGTTATAGTTCTTTGACAAGTATCAAAATTTGGGTCGGTTTCAGGATAGCTTCCTATTTTCTATGGTTTCATCTATTTAAGATGACACTATTCTCTCACTCTTTGTGAACTTTGCCACATGCCTCACTTTCATGACTTGTTATTTTAACCGGATACGAACAAAATGATGCAACTAGGATTGCCAATTACTAGACTTTCTAGAATACTTCTATTTCAGTTCTCTGAAATCTTCCATTTAGACTCCTCTAACCAAAGCAGTACGAAAATATCGATCTAAAAATGAAATTTCTGTGTGCTTGTGTGAAGTTAACTATAACAGGTGTTCCTTAACTCCCTTAGTCCATCTTTACATCAACTTCTTATTTGTCATTTTGGCTAGCTGAATTCAGCGTTATTGTAATTTGCCTCAATCAGGCTATTTGAAACTTATCCATAAAGCCGGGGTTATTAACCAATTGCTCTAGAGTGACAGCTTTATTGCATATAATAGTATAACAAGCTAGCTGAAAATTATCCATAAAGTCGGGGCGATTAACCAACTGCTTTAGGGGGGAGAACTTAAGCTTTATTGTATATATAATAATATAGGCTAGCTGAATATTATCCATAAAGCCTGGGCTATTAACCAATTGCTTTAGGGGGATAACTCAAGCTTTATTGTATATAATAATATAGCATGGGTATACGGCTCCAACTTTTTAAGCTTGTTAAAAAGAACCTGTTATAGTCTAGGTGTTTTAGTGGAAGTCAAAAAATTTCTTCGTTAAAGTTCAATTCTCAAGCAACTTACTTAAACTAGATTTACTTATTTGTGAAGATTATGTTCATTGTCGAACCTCATCAATAGAAAAGTAGTCTAGTCAGTTTTGCAATGTCATACACAAACAATGCCCCATATTGTACGCTCATATATATATAAATACCAAGCCTTTTGTCTAATTCCTTGCAATAGGAGAATGTTATCTTATATTTGTAAGAGGATGGTATGAGTGTATTTTTATTCTAAGGTAAGGTTAATTTTTTTTTGTTTTATCAGCCTTCAATCTTGATACTTTGTCAAAGATTTGTAACTTTAATCATAAAGAGTTTTTACTCTCGTTGATATTCAAAGAACTGCAAGATTGCAAAATTGATTCAATGCTCATAACCTTAAAAGTAACACAAGTTTATTTATTACAAAAAGGCGGAGAAAGGAACAAAAATATGTTCAAACAAGATGTTGAAAATAGAAAATATTACAGTGGTAGATAACAACTTCCACTTGTTTATTTAGCTTGCCCCATTACTTCTAGAATGTCCATGCCCCTAATTCAATTAAATTATGAACCTTGTGCTTCAATGCCCCACAATTCTCAGTAGTATGCCTCGGGCTTCCTATGTGGTAGCTACATAATGCATTAACATCATACCCTTCAGGAAAAGGGGGTTTTTTTTGGTTTAGACTGAACTAGAGTCACAAGATTCTGCTGAACTAATAATGGGAGCAGTTCTTCATATGTCATTGGAATTTCACCGATATAAGTCTTCTCTCCGGTCATTCGATAAAGTTTGGTCTCATGATTAGCTGAATAAGACCTCACTATATTGATCTCGACTTCTTTCTCAACGTCAGTACTGTCGGAGCCTCTTATCCTGGCATTCTTGATCATTTCTTGGGTAACTTCTTTGGATAAACCTTCAGATGCACACATCTCGGTTTCCTCCTGAGGTTTCTTGTTAAAATCCCATCATCATCTTTTTCTTCCAATACTGAAAATTGGGCTCAATTTTAGATCCATAACAATTTTCTTTGGTGATGATAGTTTTGTCCTGATTCTGAACGCTCATTGCAACTATGATTTGCGTAGTATTTGTCAGATTCTCTAAACTGTCTAAAGTTCCACTTGCCCTTAGGAAGTCTGATATAGGTGTTTGAGATGTTTTCAGGGTGGCATTTGCCCCATTCTTTCTTAAACCTATGGGCTAGTCTCGAATTACCTCTCATTTCACTTCTTTTTCATCATTTATAATCAGAGAGGTATTGAGAGTTGAATATTTTATCTTTGGCTCAAATACCTTGTTTTCCTCATCCTCTGCTGTATGTACTTCAATTGTTTTGATACTATTAACTCTATTTTGGGGTTTGATTCCCAATTGTTTGACCAAAACAGACTGATTATCCACTTCTATGATTCCTTGAACCAAAAGGTCTTGACGTTGTTTGAAGTTACTGTAGTTCTTGATGGAGTGTCCTCGAGCTCTAGCATGATATTCACAAGAAACTTTCTCATTATACCAATTCGGGTAAGGAAGCAACAAAGGCTTAGCCCGACATGGAGCAATAAGTTGGGATTGGAGCAATTTGTGATATAACTTAATGCACAAAACTGAAGAAAAATTGGGTAAAAATTCTTTTGACCTCATTTTCTCCTTGTTATCATCTTGAAAACCTTGTGAATGATCATCTATATTTTTGCTTTGAAGGTTTAACTTTTGACCACTCTTTTTCTTGATAAGTTTTGAGCTTTTAGGGATCTTAGGTTTTCCATCTTCAATGTACAACAACCCTTTTGTGATGGGATATTTAACTTTTAATTTCATATCCGTACAATTCTCCGTAGAGTGACTAAAATATTCAGAATGACAGTTGCATGATCTTTTGACACCTTGACAATCTGGACGCATATAAGTATTAGACGCCAGAGGAATTGGCGTTATGAGGTCACTTTCAAAAAGAAAGGGTAATAAGTCTGAATATGAGATTGGAATTGGAATGAGAGGTATCCTTTTCTTTTTGTTTTTTTTAACTTTCTTCAATGGCACTTGAACTTCTTCTATGCTTCTCTTCAACTTGATCTCTGTCGTATTTTCCGAGATCATACCCAATTTTTTTAGCCTTATTGGATTTCCAATTTCCCTTACAAGTTCCTAGTTATTTGTTTTCATCGCGTTAGCTACACCACTAATATTCATAATCTCATTCAAATCTTTTACAACAGAATCCTCTAAGGGTTTCTCTCCATGGATCACAACATTCACCATGTCCATTAATTTGGTCATTTGTTCTTTTGAATCATCCTAGAACCTTTTTGCTTGATCAGTCATTTCTTGTTGAATCTTGATAAGTTGTTCTTGGAGTTTCTCGATTCTACTAACCCTTGCTAAAATCTCATTCATGGTTCTTATCTTTCTCTAAAAAGACCCAGTTAGCTCCAATTTGATTTCAGAAATTCTATCATGGAATCCTCCACAAATTATTCCCACGTTTTCCAAGCAAAGCATGGAACTAGAAAGCATGAGGTTAGAATTTATATATAAGTACCATTAGTGTAATTTAACCATAAATACAAATACAAGA